GAGAGTGGGTAGTTTGATTGAAGACAGGCAGTGGCCCCCAGTTACTGATGAATGGACCTCTTAGCAGTATTCAGATTGAGTTAGTTCAGTATTAGTTGAACGTTTGTTACAACAATAGCTAGAAACAGAGAAAAAAAGTAGAAAATTGGTCTTGGGCTTGCGTTCAAACGTGCACATATTGTTCGGAGATGCTACCGCAGTAATGGCGACTTTGTTTGCTTCTGTAACTTTCCCGGATGCATGTGCACCACCTAAACTGCAGCCACTTACACTACAGCTAAATATATCCTTTAAAGCCCTCACATGTTAACTCCTCAATCATTTCACAGGAAATGAACTGTTAATTATTGAAAAGAACTGTAACATTTATCCTTTAACTGTTAATAGGACTTCATCCTGAAAGTAGATTATTGATTAAATGAGTACAATACTGATTAAGGACTATGTATTTTGTGGTAGTGCTTCATTTACTGACTGTTAGAGTTCTTCCTCCTCCACTGTTGGAGGATAAAAACATACTTAATCTTTCACTTCATCGTCTTTCAGAGTTCAAAGCTTTCAATAAAAGGTTTGTAAAATAAATGATAACAATATAAAAATACAGACTCAGTGTTTACGTAACAGTGTGAGTCCACTTTATATAGACTATAATGATATCACAATAAACAACACAGAGAGTTTGTCCATAAAATAATCTGCACATTGTTATAACAGTCAAAGAATGAAATGATGACAAATCCAACATTTAACATTCAAGTTTTACTTTAAAAAGAAACTCTGACTTACAGCGTGATGTTGCCCAGACATCTCGCCCAGACAAGAACTCAGGAAGTACGACCATACCTAACATGAGATACAGGAAATCCTCTGCAGAGAACAACAAACAACAACTCACTCTATCTCCACCTCTCTCACAATGTGCTTTAGAGACATACAGTCATGTCAGTTTGTCACAAATGTAATAAAATAACCTTCTGTTGAAATCCTTCAACAGACAAACAGAAAACATGCTGCATAGTTCTTACATCTCCAAAAGTAAAACTCTGAGCTCCACCTCAAGCTGCTACAACATCAAACTCTGCATCACTGTCAGCACATTGAACACTTCACACTCATTATTCAAAATAAGAACCACCAAACTATGTTTCACTGCTAATACTGCTTTATATTGACTTAAAATGAAGGCAGGGACTTTTAAACTGCAGTATTTAAATTATCTTTCTGGGCTTTGACTACTTCTACTCAGTGTTTAAAATATTAATATAAGACTTCTTCCACCACAGTTAAAGTGTAAAAGTTTATATTTAGAATATGTTTCATAGCTCATCATTTATTTCAGTCTCACATTTGAAGATAATAAGCTGTGACTTTGAAATGTACAATTCACTTACACTCTTCAGAATCATCTCCATGTTGTTTTTAAAGTCACACTGTCACAATGAAGCACTTCTTAGCTGTATTCACGTGTTTGCATTAGGTTGCGTATTTCTTGCTGCTTAAATGGGGCATAGTTCTTATTTCCTGCCCACTTGCAGACTGTGCATGGGGTAAGCAAGCAGCAACCTCTGTGGCTGCAAACAGTAAAGTAAATGTGTTTACAGCCTGGTACAAGAAGCAGTACAAATACTCCACTCATGACAACTATAAGTGAGGTGAATCTTTATATAACCCACCTGTTTAAATGACATCAAGGCTTAAAGTTAAGTCTGTTAAATTGAACACTGATTTAGTAAAGTCGTTCTTCTTCCACCTGTTCTGCCTCAGTGTCTGCATTTGGGTCTTCAGTCCTATTGCTTTGTAGACACATCTGTGACAGAGGCTGCTGAGGGTGCTACAGCCTATAGTCTATAACCATCTGTTTTAACAACATTTGTGGAGTGATTGTATTTGTACTTACCGTAGCCAGTGTGTAAATCATGATGTGCTATCTGGCTATAACACAGAGTGTCAGCAGGAGTAAGTGACATCCCACAAGGGACTTTCTGTTCACAGACACTCTTTTCTAAGGAATAACCACACATTACACCATATGGTGGTAGAAAGCGATACTGCACATGTCTCCAGTGTGGCTTTGAACTTATGTGCTATTGAAATGAGTTAAGGCAGATGATTCTACACATTAGTTCTATTCATTACTTTGGAGAGCTTGGATATTTACTCATATATTGAAATGTATGTTAAGGCTTCAGTATTTATTTTATCTGAATGTTTGACTTTATTTAATTTGCATGTAGAGCTTTTATTAACTATATTTATGCATTGTGTATTGAAGGAATAGAAAAGAGGACAATAAGTCAACATTTGTTATTTTCATTGACTTTACAAAAGCTTTTGATTTTGACAACTGAGCCACCGTGGCATTTAAACTACAAGGATGTGGGGCAGTAGTTTCCTTTTGCAGTGCTACTGAAAGTTGTATTAAAGTAAATTAAATTAAAATTGGTTGATTCAACCCTCATCAGGGGTTAAACAGAGGGAGGATTGGTCTCCCACACACATATTTATAACGTGTGGCACATGAAGTTGTATATTTATTGGTGAATATAGAAGGCATAAAAGAGAGTTGTCAAATGGTGCAGGATGAAGAACTGAGAGTTTGCATATAGTGAAAGGCACACAGGCTGCATTAAGGTCACGCTGATACTCAGAATGGGTCACTTCATAAGTCTTTATTTCCTCCTTAATTTTATAAAGAGTATGGTCTAAACCTGCTCCATATGAAATGTCCTGAGATGATTTGGAACTAAATGACATTCAGTTGAATTGAATCAGTATTGTCAACTGAAATGTATCTTAAGCTGTGCAGTCTAACTGGTATGTTAGTGCTTTAAATTGGGGACTGTATAGAATGACAGGGGTCCCCTGTTGAATGGTATGGAACAACAACAAATCCCTGCTCCAGCCTGCAGAGTCAAAGCCGAATATGGATTTAACACTCACACACTTTTAAGTCCCCTGTTGGCAAAAATTTTAAAAAGTTCACAAGAGCAAATTACACATGATTTTAGGTCGAAAGCATGTCCAAAAGGGGACCCCAGAAAAGTCCCCTGTTTGTGGGTGTGTAAGGACGCTAAAGTGCCCTGTTAGATAGGTAGGCTGGTCCACACACACAGGCACGTACACACACACACACACACACACACACACACACACGCACACACACACACACACACACAGAAACCTGTTTGGCAGAGTCATGGTCTCCTACACTCTGATAGGTCAGTCCCAGTCAATAGGAGGCCTTTCCTTCAATCTGTTTGCCTTCAGCTGAAACACACATCTGTAACATCAAAGTCCCAACTGGTTCATGGTCTAACAGAAGCAAATTCATACTTGTACTACAAAAGACACCAAGGATTTTAGAGAGTAAAATAGTGACCTCTAGTGGACAATCATGGAAGTGAAATCAAGACTAAAACCACACTCCAGAATAGTTTACTGTACTCAAACGCTCCGAACCTAAATGTTGTGGCTGAGTTAATTATAACATTTTAAGTGTTGAGCGAGTACATCAGTATCTGTTGAATAAAAAGTGGTATATTTATGGGGACAGATATTGACACATTTCACTAGTTTAAGAACTCATTCCCAGCAAGACAACATTTTGGGGATTTTTGTGTTAATTTTGCACATATTAAGCCAATAATTGACTTTTTTAAAGTCTTCACAATGAATAAAGGTGAAATGAAGAGAGCCCTACAGTACATATAAACAGATTACACTTGATGGCGTCTGCACTGGTACAGGAACTGATGATCTGTCTATAAGGTGTGATAACAAAGGGAAGTGGACTAAATGCTCACCAGATCTCGTGGTGCAGAACAGTACTTATTACTGGATGTAGGAAAACTAGAGTGGATATACCAGTGACGGAGTGTCTGGACAAAATGGCTAAAACTTCCTATGTTATAAACTGATAAATAGCTACATAAAGATTTGGGGCCCTTATGCTACGGCAACGTAAAGTGCTGAAGACTTGCCCCCCTTCCTACAATGACATAATGTCATGTTTTTTATATGTAGAATTGGAGGTACTGTTCAAATTAACCTGGGGTATAATTTGATAACTTGATGACTGATAACAGACAGAGAGTGAGATACCTGTGATTGCCTTCTCGAAGCGTCTCCACACAGATGTTCTGCTTTACACTGTTTGTGAACCTGGAGACGTGAGAGCAGCACACATTATAGGAGCATGAAGAGGAAGATGCAGTGACACTAATACTGAACCTTTATTTATCAGCAGGGGGCGCACTAACCTTTCTTTCTAGTATCAAGATCAGAAACTAAAGGAGCATCCTGTCACATCCACAGCTCCTTACAGGACAAATGATTTAGTTGTTGTACTCTACCTGTACTGAGTATTTCTCTGTTTGTTACTGTTGCTGCGTTCATCTTCAGCTGTCAGTCAAACTAAAGGAGAGAGAGGCTGCCATAAACACAACCCTCATCTGAAGTCCTCTTGGATTTCTGCAGCTCGTGTTGTCTGTTATTTCTAATATCTTTCATTGTTGTGTGCTACTATCTGCTGCTCAAACAGACCTTCTGCTCCAGGAGGAAGATCAAACTTTCCTGTTCCATAAAATACAATGAAGGCTGCAGGTAAACTGTTCTGTTACAGTCTGAGGTTGCTGAAATTATCTGAACAAACTTCATACATCCATGAAGACTGTGTGATGTGGCTGAAAACTCAAGAAAATACCAGTAAGTGGACCTTGAGTGGGAACTGTTGGGTAAAACTATTTCAATATTATTTTCTCTTTAACTTTTAAACCAACATGGATTATAAATCCTAAAGTGCTGTGGGTTGTCAAACTAGTCAAAAGCTTCAGAAGAAACTTCATATAAACCTTTATTTATACTCAAAACAAAGTTACAAACTGCATTACATGGTTTAAAGCAGGATTAATACATTTTAGTAAATACTAATAAACCTATACAGCTTGAGTAAAACAATAAAATCAATAACAGGTTAAACTAATATAAATATATACAGTGAACAGTTCTGTGTTTAACAGATGAGAATGGATGATGATGATAATAATGAATATTAAACACAGTCACAGCCTTTTGTACACAACCTGTTGACATTTTACAAAACAGTTCAGATTCTTTTAAAGTGCTAAAGTGGGAACTTTGATACAATCCATGAAATGAAAGCAGGAATCTTCAGTCACAGCTCATATCTTAGACTGGACACCAACATCATTAAGATCTCCCTTCTTCACTGTGTGTCTGCAGCCTTTTCACTGGCTCAAAGACAACACCTGCTCACATAGACTGAAAACAAAGTCACAATGGATAGATTGTAAACTAGGAAGACAAACAACATCATCATTCTCTGTCAGCGTGATGGTAGAGCAGGAAAAGATGGAGAATATCCTCCAGTGTCACAATGATTTCCTCCTCGTTCTCGGTCACTACAGGAGGTTTTTAGTCCACGTCGTTCAACGCTGCGTCTCTCTGTGTTTTAAAGTGTCTTCAGTGTTATTTCCTGCTCCTGATGTTTCCTCTGACTGTGATCTCTGAACTCTGTCCAGTTGCTCTCTCTGGTCCTCCTGTTGCTGATTTCCCTCCACTAAGAGCTGGAGCTGCACTGCATTCATATTTACATTATGCTTCTGGACTTTCGGCTTTCCTTTGACCTTTAATGTTGACTGTTTCACACCATGTGTTACATCTCCCTCCAGTTCAATTTCATTCCTCAGTCGCCTCTTTGTGTCTGTGAGCCAACAGAAACAGGAAAGTGTTAAAGTTGTTGTGTTCATGTGTTTTTGTCTAATCAATAAATAAGTGTTAAAGTGAGAAAACTACACAAGCAGAATAAAAATATGATAATTGAACTGGAATATTTTTAACATCACAGTGATTTTCATAAACAGAACATTTCCAAATGAGAGAAAACTTTTGAAAGCAACACATTTTCTTTTATTTCCTCCATTTTCCCCAAATTTCCTGCAGTGAAGATCATTTCAGACTGTTTGCTTAGTTACTGTTGTTATGCCTGTATGTATGTCAATAAAGAGCTCTGACAGTAACTTGGAATAAAAAGGGAAATAAATTTGTGACTTACGTTCCATTATCAGAGGGATAATATTGAGTAGTCCAAAAGTACTGATAATAAGAATGGCGATGATCCAAATCCAAAGAGAAGACGACTGAACTGTGAATAAATCATCTGAAAAGATAGAAGAGAGAACAGAATGACATTATTGAATCAAACTATAGCTCAACAGTGACAATATGTTTAATATATTTAGAGCTCTTTATAACCTGGAACATAGATGTGTGTCTCTCTGGTCCGGTTGATGTCCTTCTGTTGGACTCTACAGATGAAGTTGTTGCTGTGTCTCTTCTCCACAGTCACTCTGCTGCTGACAGTATAGAGGTCATCAGAACCTCTGACTGTCTCTGTAGGTCCAGCAGAGAGGAGGTTTCCCCTCACCGTCCAGCCAGACCACCTCAGGCTCTGGATACCAGCCTTTAGACTCACACTGTAAAACTACTCTTCCACTGTTATTGGAGACAACCTCTATGATGGAAGTGGAGACGACACCTGATGAGAAGACAGGAGGAATTTCAAACAGTGGATTCAGATCCAACAAATAACTTACAGCACTGTTTTCTTTGTGTCTTATCATGGCTGCTTACTTCTAATATAAAGTTACATTACTGATCTTTGCAGTCAGCACAATGTGTAATTCATCATCTTCATAAAGTCTGACTTACCAACAGTGAGTTGGATGGAAGCTTCCTTCAACATTGATCGAAGGAAGCAAAAGTATTTTCCTGCATCAGAGATTTTCACTTTGAAGATTTTCATGGAGACGTTTCCATTCTGCAGTTCATCCACAAACAGTCTCGTTCTGAGAAAATAAGATGGATTTTGAATTCGATGCATCAATCGTCCATCTTGGTGAACATGGATGTACTTTGGGTCTAAACCAGGTCTGGTCCACTCCACTGTCTCAGAACTGGCACTGATTGGAGGATCAAGGTAATATGGTAGAATGACATCATCACCAGGCAGGGCTACGATTGGTTGATGTGAACAAATCAACTCTGACTGCTCTGCAACACAAACTAAAGAACAAACAAGAAACAGTAGTATAGTTATAATACATGTCATCAGACTGAATGGATTCATTTTACTTTCTAAAAGTAAGAAAACATTTAATAAAACTGCATCAAAAACAAAGAAAAGCTTTTTGATTCCCTAATTCTTTTTCTCAGTCAGTATGTTACAGTAGAGGATCAAGGCCACACAAATGTAGTTGAGTTGAGTTTAAAGATAGAACCACAAATCCTGCGTAAAGAACATAAAGAAAGGCCCTTTGTAATGCCAGAGAAGCCTATTGTACATCACTAATAGAAAACCGCCTCCAACCCTCTCCCTCTCTCTCTCTAACCCCAACCAGTCAAGGCAGACTGCCGCCCCCTTAGAGTCGGGGTCTGCTCGAGGTTTCTGCCTGTTAAAAGGACGTTTTTCCATGCCAATGTCACCAAGTGCTGGCTCATGTTGGGAACTGTTGTGTTTCTGTAAATAGTTATAAAAGTAGAACCTGAGATACATTCTGTAATGATTTGGTGCTAAACAAATAAAACTGAGTTGAAAACTGAGTTGAATCAAGCTCAGACCACATAGCCTCACAGAGCTGGCAGTGTGTGTATAAATTACCTGTTAAACACTGTGTTAGAAGAATAATGAAGAGCAAAACACTGCAGGTCCCAAAGGACAGTCCATCACAGAGCTCTATCTTTGGATACAGCATTGTAGACTCCTGAAAACCAAAAACAGACAATAGCCTTTGACTGGTAGTTTAAATAAACACAAGTAAACCAAATGTCTTTAGTGGAAAATGAGGTTGAACAGGGTGGAAACTCTAGAGTTGATTTAAGTTTTTCTTTGTCTCATAGCTCAGAGAGCGCTTTGGCTCAGTGAGGCAGAGACATAACTTTATTCTAGCAACATTCAAAGTCAATAACACTGCGTACGGTCAACTAACAGTGAATATAGTTGGACATTATGTTTAACAACAAGACAAGATGGTGATCAGTCTTGTCATTGTCCCTGAATGATAGGATAGGATGATAGTGTACTGATGGCAAAGACAGAGGAGGCTCTTGATAGGCCTTCTGCTTTGTTTAGTAATATCTACCATAGAGAGATAAATATATGGCTAACCAACAGTTGAATTTCATTTTAATAGTGGCAATTTCTGTTTGTTCATCAATTTGAATAAAAAAGTGAAAACTCATGTATGCAATTGTCCCCGTGCACAGGCGCCGCCAGATGGCTAAGCCCCGCCCCCCAGAATCAGCCCCCAAGACACGTAGGGCCAACATGTACGAAAATCTGTATGCATGTGTATGGTGATAATAGTGAGAGCGCCACTTAGTGGCAACAGGAGGTATCACTTTTTATACTTTCATGTTCTACTCCTAGCAGGATGATCAGATCCAGCTGAAATTTACAAAAAACACACATTGTTGATGATATGTGATGACTGTGGTGGGTGGGCGTGTCAGTGGCATGGTGGGAAATTTTGATGTACCACTGCTTAACACAAGTTTGCTATAACTTGAGTGTACATTGACCATTCGGCTTCAAACTTCACTTGTCTGGGTTCGAATCCGACACGGCCCGTTGCTACGTGTCATCCCCTCTCTCTCTACCCCCCCTTCCCTGTCAATCTTCAGCTGTCCAAAAAAAACCAAAAAACCAAAAAAAGAGTCCCACTCTGAGCACTTCTATGTGATAATATTCACTAATAGTGAGAGCGCCACCTAGTGGTGGAATGAACAGAAACACAAATAAACCAAATGTATTTAGTGGAAAAAGAGGTAGAGAGAAATAACGAACAGTTGAATATCATTTTAATAGAAGCAATTTCTTTGTTCATTTATCGATAAAACTTAAATGATCATCCTTTATTCCAGATGTTTTACTGTAACTTTTACTGGATCAGTGTCGGCAATGTGTTTTTTAGAACAACACTTAAACCAGATCTTTCAATAAAGAATCTGATGACAATAACTCTAACTAAAAAATATTCAGGAAGAATGTAGATGGACATCTGCTTCCCCACAGCACTGGGAAAAACAAACAGTTCACTGAATGACATGAAAGCAAATCCAAACACACACAATGATGTTGCTATGGTGATGTCTTTTTGTTTACAAAGAATGGAATACAAATAATAAAGAGAAGGCCCATATAATTTATGTCATAGATAATGTTTCACAAAGTTTCTCCTCACTCAATAACTCTAAAATTGTGAGATTCTAAGAGAGTCTGGGGATATTGTGGTTACTGGTTCAGTCGAATCAGCTGCTGCTGGTAAAAGAGATACAGCACATAATTTGCATTAACCAAAACAGCAGCAGGTTGTTTTTCCAGGATAAGTTGAGTAGACGGTAGTTTGATGTTACATTACATTAATTTAAACACAAAGTATTGATCTTATTTGTTTTTCTTTAATAAATTCATGGTATAAGAGGGATAATGTCCTTCCAGGTGTCCATAATCAGGAATTAATGGACTTCATGGAGGCAAACGTCCCCCGTTGGGAATTATCCCTCAACATAAACAACACAGAACATTTCTCCATAAAACAATCTGCACATTGTTGTAATGGTCAAAGATTATGAAATTATCACATATCCAATGTTTAACCTATTCAAGTTTTACTTTAAAAAATGAACTCTTACCTGCAGATTGATGGATGCAAACTCTCCACTGTGATGTTGGTTCTCACTGACCTTTTGTTCTCTTCCTCTCTGATATAAAATGAGGAAGTAGCCAATAAAAGAGCAGGGTTGGGAGGGGCAGCCGACCTAAAAAGTGTAATCCAATACAGTTACTGATACATAATAATCAGTTCCAACAACATATACCACCATTAACCACATAATATTTAAAAGGGTAAAAGGTCAGATCTGAAGGGGGAGATATATAATCTTGGGGGAGTGGTTCAGTGAGGAGTGGCAGTGATGCAGATGGAGGAGAGAGTTGTGATTCAACAGTAAGTGATATTGGCTGATACGGTCCATTGATTCTGTTCCACCTGTTTGTGGTAGTTTACAGGTAGTGGAAAGGTAATTATGGGTTAACTATGGTCCAGCAGTTTCCACATCTACCATTCACTTCTGGGAAACAACTGTTGTAGACAGTGGCTGACACTTTCTGGGTTTATCAGAAGGTAAGACTGTGGAGATTACATCTGTGCAATAAGGGGCACAAATAATAAATACTCAGTAACTACTAAAGCATTATGTTAGCCCTCTATGTCGGTCTATACAAAAACAACCCACCTGTCTCGTGGGCTATACCACTCGCTCTAACAATCATTCTCATGCTTCTGAACCTTTCTCTCAGTTTAAAAAGGACAGACATTGTTGCATCCACGTAGAAACAAAGCGTATCCATGGAGCAATGACACAGTTTCAGCTTTAACAGCAGGCCAGGAGAGCTTTGGCTGTTTCAAAGCCTCTCTCTGCACTCATGTGTGAACAGCTTTGTACAAGGTCTTGACGGCGCCCTCTGGTGTACCTTTCCAGATAATACATGCAGTTCTCTCCTCCACACAGTGTTTAAAGGTTTGTGTGACTGTGTTTAATTTTAAAAAACAAAAACAGGTATTTCTCAGGGTGGAAGCTGGCTTGTCCTTTGTTGTTCTTGTCATTTCACCCTTTTGTTTTAACCACACAAAAAAAATTAATTCAAACATGAAACATGAAACCACAAATAAAACATATAACCAACATTTTTATTTCTTTATGGAAACTTTTTGACTTAAATTGTCTCTTATTTTGAGTCTCTTACTTTAAACAAGACACCAATGCATTGGATTTTTACACATTTATTTTGTGTGCAAACATTTTAATGGCCAGGCACTTAATTACATGTAATCCCATACTCCTCATCCTCCCAATACTTGACATAAGAGAAAATGCTATTGTAATGGTGGCGTTGGCTCACAGAACATCTGATGGCGGTGTGCACATTTAAACACAGGATCCAGAAATCTGTTCCAACAGTAAATTCCATTCAGTGGGGAGGTTAGGATGGTATCAGACATATCAGAAACATCAACTAATAACTAATAACAAAACAAGAAACAGATTACCATTTAACTCCCACATAAAGCAAACCTCTAGGGCTGCCTCCTTCCTTTT